GGTGTGTTTATATGATCACAAGAGATAATTATCAGAGATAAAAAAAAGGCATTAGTTTCTCTTCTTAGAAAAGGTGGTAACGTTTTGTTGTTTTATCTTTAACCGTTTAATATAAATATATGCTTCGTTTATGAATAAGCTGCACATTGACTTTTCAATTATCATTTCAGTTATAATCTCATCTGAGTAGGTTGCCTGGTAGTAAATAATTGATACGGAGTTTGTATGTATAGTCAACAATTCCACTGATGATTAGTTACTGAGAAACTCTGCTGAATCCCTCCATGAACTTCTTCTTTGTATCCACTCTTCATGTCTATTTTTAGATACCAACAAACACGTACTTGGATTACAGAGAAAATAAAATTTTCCAAATGTCTCAACGTAAACCTATTATGATCAATACTAATCAGGTATCAGTATCAAAATCTTTTCTTTCGTTAATTAACACATGCATATAACTATAGTTGAACAATCCAATATATATTACAATACCAATGCCAAAGATTATCTTCCAAATACCATCTATTAGAATGATACTTGCGCATGAATTTGGCAATGAACATCGTAGTGGTTCAAACAACAGATGCATTCATTGTGCTCATCTACAATGCAAAGAAGGTGAAGTTGAAGAAGACGATATTGAAGTAGTAGTTGACGAAGAAGACATGATAAAAGAAGAAATTGAAGTCGAAGAAATTAAACAAGAAGAAATTAGAGAAAAAATGATTTTTCAATATCCTCTTAACGAACAAGATGATTCTAACAAATATATACTTCCTCACTATGTAAATGTTAATGAATCGCCGTTGTCACCTTTATTGGAAGCGACAATAAAAGATGAAATCTATGACTGGAAGTAGTTTCCGGTCGACAAGGCTGATGAAAAATGCATGAGAGTGGAACCCATTATTTCATATTTAAAACATGGAATGACAAAAATCAATAATTATGTACACATGTATAACATTATTAAAAATTGAAAAAATTTTTGTATCATATTAACTAACTGCGTTCTGCATGCATAGATCTTTATTAATGTTTAAAAAATAAATGATTCGAAGTGATGTAACTATAAAAAAGGGGATATTAAACAGCTTGTGCCATCACTGACTCTAAGCCAGAGTCTTTTAATCTATATGTGATGACAAAAAGGAAAGTGTTGAGTATGATTTTATAATCAGAAAAAAAATTCTTTTCTTAAAATTGATGATATCCACTTTCAAATGAATCTCTTAAATTGATTCTTTTTGAAACATGGGTTCCTAATGGCTTATCATTGATTTCTTTTCTCTACAAACGCGTAAAAGTGAGTTTCGAGTGACGAAACCAATGATATTAAATTCTCTTTTCAACTAGTTTTTATTTGACCAATTTCATGTGCATCATTGCCCTCACGATAGCTATTTGTATTTATTTGCATCAATATTGATTGATTTATCTGATAACTATCATTTATTTTCAAACACTTCTAGATATATCTTATGATTGGTCTGTAATATCTATTAAATATTGACTGATTATGACAGAAAATACAGTTGTTGAGCTTAATCAAGATATTGGATGTTATCTACTAAGATTTATTGATGGAATAGACGCGGTTAATTTGATCGAAGCAGTAAACAATAGTCGACAATTTTGGTCAGTTGCAAAAACATCCAATCATCATTTTATTAAGATGATTAAGACGTTCCGTGGTCATCACAGAATTCTACTATCACGTGCACTATTTGAAGACTTCACAGATGAATATGAAATCGACGATGAGCAACTTATCGTAGTTTCAAAGCGTTATTCTGATGTCATTGAGCCATCTGAACGTTTATATATTCATCCATGCTTTAGTACTGAAGGTTTTACGAAATTGTGTGAAGTCTATAAGACTCCTCTTTTCAGCTGCTATTCTCGGCTCTTACCATTGAACACCATTTGTTACAATTACAATGCAGATTTTGGACTTCTTGATTATGAGTGGTATGGTCGTACAATCGGGTCGGAACGCATATTAAATGACTATGAAAAAAATTTGTTCAAAGGTAAACAATAAAGAATAAAAAATATGACATCTAAGGGTCGACAAATATGATTCATTTTAGTTAATACGTATTTTAATAAGAATGAAGATCGAAATTGTTGCTCGAGAATGACATTTGTGCATACAATGAACGAATTTAAACAGAATTTTTTAACTCGTTTTTCATCGGATGAATGGCTAGGAGCAATAGACTTCTCAAAATGGGTCATTGTTGGAGGATGTGTATTAAATGCCTTATGTCGATCACCATTTCCGGATACCAAACAACAAGACATCAACTTGATGTACTATGTAAATGATATATTTGATTTTAAGAAATCAATAGATATCACTGTCAATAATCTTAATAAAATGGTTTCACAAGGTTCACGGAAAGAAATCAAAGTGGAGAAAATACCAGGCACACCTTGTTACAATGTGTTTCTACCCTGCCATGTCCGACTTAACTTCACTTGGACAGATATAGGAAATTCAAAAAATCCAGTTTCACATATCCTTCACAATTTTGATATGGATATTTGTCAAGTAGCCTTTACTGGTAAATCTTTGTCTTTTAATCACTTCTTCATTACGTATATGACCTTTTTTTAGGAGATAAAATCGTTTCAACATTTCCATTTTTGCAAGCTCTTGCGACAAAATCGTTTATTGTTTATAGTCTACATGCACGAAGTCCAAAGCATTTATGCACACGTATAGCAAAATATTGTAACAGAGGATTCAATCTTCTAGAACCCCTTGATTTCGATGGCGATTTTGATTCATTGATGATACAAGAAGAAGCTCCATTGTATCGAGTTGAACATCAACAGTATATTGATGATGACGGTGAGATTCAATTTGCTACAAAAGAATTTCACCGAACATTTCTAAATAATGTTGATACTTTTCGGCTTCAAGAGAAATTCATGTGTATGGTTTGTCCCCAATTATTACAATATGCTTAAATAATACATCTCCAACATATATCAAATGAATGATATTGATCAAAACTTATATCATGTCGAATTTTTTATTATTGTCGATATTTTCAAAAGTATATTGTCATTTGTAAAGAGCGAAATAGATGAGATGAAAATCAATTATCTGTCAACAAGTATTTTTTCATAGTCATGCTCTCAATTGTGTTTTCGTTGTTTGATGGATCATTATCCATATGATGGTCAGCCAGATTCGATTTGAAAAAACTTGTGTTGGTTTTCTTATACTAAATATATATATAACTATTGATAATTATATTAGCTTTCATATATTCGAATAAAATGTTTTGGAAATTGTAATCTATCTTTAGAATTTAGACCATAATATATATTTATTGTAGATTTTACTAACATAAACATTTACATCTACCTCCAAGTTTATTCATTCGAAATGTCTCAATCGTCAAGTAAATATCATGTTGAATCAATTTTTCAAATTCATATTCTATCATATTCCTTTACATAATAGATTCAACAATGAATACAAACATTTTCTCAGACTTATCGGTAATTATAGCTGATAATAAGGTAAGCACTAACAACATCATAATAACCTAATATTTATATGAATTTGACAATAGGCCACTTCAACTGGAACAGAACGAGGAGAAAAAAGACCCGCTCCTTTAGTTCCTGAATGTCAAGTTAAAAAGAGTATGGCTGATCATCATTCATGCGAAGAACGAGCTTTAAATACTACTTCCAACTATATTGACCAACCAAAATTCGTCAGTGCGGCTGAGATAGCTGCTGCAGCTCGTGCGAATGTTCATATGGCGCCTGAAATTTCTGATGAAGAATTGCTTGAAATGGCTCTTAAATTCGAAAAAGAAAATCCCCAATAATCCTCCTCAACAATTTGATAAAATACAAGCTGATCTTCAAATGAATAGTCTTTTTTTGTAGTGTGATTGCGGTGCTGTAGTGTTGAACTTTTCAGATTATCTTAGTTGTTTTGTGTTCAACTTATACACGTATTTATTACTAGTATTTATCAATAAGCTTCATTATTAATAAAAATCATTTCAGATTAGTAATACTGGTTAGTAGTGACTGATGGGCTGATCGTAATGCATAAAGAGTGGTCGATAAACATTTTGGAGTGAAGGTATAGGCGTAGGTGTGAGTGTGAGGATGGGGTATACGCGTTCGTTTCATCTATATCTACACCGACACCCTCTCTGTGTATGACCACTAAGATCATTTCCTACCCTTACAAAGTAAATAACTTGACTGATCGTTCCGTCAACATTTCTCTGTCGTTCAAATTTTGGTTGCGGGCTGAGAAATATTGGTTTTTCATCATCATAAATAATTCACGCTTTTATAATCATGGCCGTCAATCAATTTGTAAAATAACAGACACATCTATTTTTAAGAAGATAACTATTGTAATCATTGTAGATTTCACATCGATTATTCTGTTCCAGCATTGGTTTTAATGTGTCACTTTTTCATTAATTCTTGATAACGTATTCATAAAAAATAAGAAAGTAAAGAAAGCCGAAAACAGAGTTTTCTGTGTGAATTATCATTTGGCCTTACTTTATACATGTAAAGAAAACAAAGCTCTAACCAACCAGCAGTCATCTCTTCCTTTTGTATCAAAATCTCTCTTTTATTTTTCATCTCGTTCATTACTTCTTCTTTCGCTCATTTATTGTAGATATTCTAAGCAATCATCTTCACTCTCTTATATAAATAGTGTTAATCAAAACAAAATTAGCTACGAACATCTCAAGTACATAATTCAACATCGGTCATGAAGTACTGCATCATAACCATCCCGCTTCTTCTTATTCTACTCGCTCTACGTCTTCACGCGTACTTGAATGATACATTTTCAAAAAAGACTACAATTGCACATCCCGAGACAGGTCTTTTCTTTGACTATATCGGTCTGTACACACAATCTGAAACAATCATTCATAATTCAGTGGTTTTTCCGATAACAACGGCTACATGCCACTTTCTACCATTATCAGCTGCACAAAATATTCCCTCCTGCAATATTACCAGAAAAAGGAATAAACGCTTCGTCGACATTATCAGTTTGGGTGTTGGAATGGCCAGTCTCGGTATATCTGTAGCAAATTCTATGCAAATTGCAAGTCTTCAAGAACAAGTAGCGGTCGTGGAAAACACTCTATCAAAATTCTCTCACACTATGTACATATATCAGGCACACCTAGTAAAAATTATGTCGAAGCAAATAGAATTTACAGATGAGCTTCAAAAGACACAGAAAGCTATCGATGCAATGATACCTATCTTAGACTCACACGCCGCAGCTATCAATGCTTTAGAAATTGGTTTTGAACAGCTACATGCTCAATTTCAACAATCCTTCCTTTACTTAGCAATGACTAAAATCTTTCGTAACGAACTCACCCTAGATTTTTTGTTGCCAGATGACCTACGTAAAGTGGTATATGATGTTGCTAAAGAAGGAAGCCTAACATTTCATCATTACCATGGATCAATCCCCCTTCCTCAAATCATTACTAATCTTCTCGTTCGTCAGCAGGTAGACTTCGTCCCCAGATCGCAATATACAACTGGGAATTCACAAGAAATCGGTCGTCTTGTCATTACTAATTTTTTCGCCGTTCCACGACAGGATCAAATGCCCTTCTATACCTACAAATTACTGACGATCCCCTTCTTTCATGACAATAAAACAATCCAACTCGCTCAAATGCCTCGATATTGGGCAATTAATCCAGCAGATAATACCACTATGGAATGGCATAATCCTGAAGAATCTGGGTGCAACCTTCAACTGATGACAACATGCCGTGATACTCCACCTATCCATACGATCTCAAAAGATACTTGCTTCGATCAAATCATAGAAAGGCTTCCGCTATCCAGATGTCAAACAATACCAGTCCCTACTACCAGATATTTTGTTCAACAAGTAAGAGATAACTTTTGGATTACTTCGTCACCTGGACCAATACATTGTATGAAAATTCCAAAGATCGAATATGTCAGTTCCATGCAACATATCTGGAGGAAGAATGAAGAAATAATACTTCCACCTGTTGCTCTGATAAATGTAACTGAAGGTTATACAGTTGCGTGTCCTGGCTTCAGTTTAGTAGGCCGTCCTGTAACTTC